TACGTGGCTCGTGGCTTCAGTCAGCGGCAGGGGGTTGACTACTTTCAGACCTTCTCCCCCACCCCGAAGATGACCACTCTTCGGGTTCTGCTACACGTTGCTGCTCACCGTGACTACGAGCTGCACTCTCTCGACTTCAGCACAGCTTTCTTGCAGGGCAGCCTGCACGAGGAGATCTGGCTGCGTCGCCCACCTGGCTTCACTGGGTCTTTCCCTCCTGGTACCCAGTGGAGTCTCCGGCGTCCAGTCTACGGTCTCCGCCAGGCGCCAAGTGAGTGGCACGACACACTGAGGACTACGCTCGCGGCACTTGGGTTTGCTCCTTCCACTGCCGACCCGTCGCTGTTTCTGCGCACCGACACCTCTCTGCCGCCGTTCTACATCCTCGTGTACGTCGACGACTTGGTCTTTGCCACAGCTGACACTGCTGGACTCGCCTACGTGAAGTCCGAGCTGCAGAAGAGACACACGTGCACTGACCTGGGTGAACTGCGCAGCTACCTTGGCTTGCAGATCACCCGGGACAGAGCACGCCGCACCATTACCCTGACTCAGTCACACATGGTGCAGCAGGTCCTTCAGCGCTTCGGCTTCACGTACTCCTCGCCTCAGGCCACTCCTCTGCCTACTCGCCACTCGCTCTCAGCTCTGCCTTCGGATGAGTCCGTAGAGTCGAGTGGCCCGTTTGCAGAGCTTGTTGGCTGCCTCATGTACCTGATGACCTGCACACGACCTGACCTCGCATACCCTCTTAGCATTCTCGCACGCTTTGTTGCTCCTAGGAGACACCGACCAGAGCACATGGCTGCAGCGAAGAGGGTGTTGCGCTACTTGTGCAGTACGTCGGGCATGGGGCTAGTGCTTGGAGGGCGCAGTCCAGTGGTCCTCGCTGGGCACGCAGACGCTTCTTGGGCTGACGACCAGGCTACGCAGCGGTCGTCACAGGGTTACACCTTCAGCCTTGGTTCCGGCTCTGTCTCGTGGCGGGCTACCCGCTCGTCTTCTGTTCTCGGCTCCAGTTGTGAGGCTGAGATCTACGCTGGGGCTATGGCTGCACAGGAGTTACGCTGGCTCACCTACCTGCTGACCGACCTTGGAGAGCAGCCTCGTTCTCCTCCAGTCCTGTACGTAGACAACAAGGCCATGCTGGCCTTGTGTCGAGAGCAGCGACTGGAGCACAGAACGAAGCACATTGCTCTTCGTTACTTTCTTGCTCGTGAGCTACAGCAGCGTGGACAGCTGCGACTTGCGTACGTGGCCTCTGAGGCCAACACTGCTGATGTCTTCACCAAGGCACTTGCGCCTTGTGATCATCAGCGTTGCTGCACGCAGTTGGGTCTTGTGCCTGTCTTGCCTCACTTGCTCTCCTCTTGACCTTGCTTGTACTTTCGCATATATATACTCTTGTTCTTGTATATCTCTATATATGATCTTGCATGTGAACTGGCCTTGTGGCCTTTGAACTTGTGCTCGGAATGCGTGGTGACTTTGTGATCCACCCTGAGCTTTGCTTTGCTTTGCTTGACTGGTCTTGTGACCCCTTGTTCTCCCCCACTTTGCCTATGGGGGTGTGTCAGAACTTATAGCTTACTTGTTTCTGTAGGCTATAGTGGGGTATCCCATAGGGGGTACAACCCAATTAGGGTTTCCTATTTGTACCCACTTCGTTCATAGTCATTCCATTCTCGTTCTTTGTTTTCACACTATGCTCAACTGCAACGAAGTTAGATGAGTCTTAGATAGACAAGCGTAGTAATCTCATACCTAACTGTGTAAAAATATGACTTATTAGCTAGACTATGATGTTTAAGCTTAGGGCCCTTTGTAAAGACTTGGTAACTTTCTTGTATTTTTTTGGTTTCGTTTCTTCGTGCATAATCTGCCATCCGTTTCCTCTATCCACCGTCCTTACTTTTCCTTTTCGTCGGTTGCGTTTTTACCACCTCGTATTTTCATGTTTTCATTCTTTTTTTTCTCACACTCAGTTTAGAGCAGTCTTATCCAGAAACTGACGTGTTGTCGTTTCGTAAGGCCTAATTTTTATGTAGGTGCGTTGATTATCTTTAATGCATCTTATTGTTTTCCTTCACATATGTGTTCACCTCTCTTCCCTCCCTTCCCTCTTCTCCTTTATCTCCTTTTTACCGTTCTCTCTCGATTCTCCCTCCCTTCTTCTCTCTCTTCTTCATTTCCCCTTCTTTATCCTCTCACTACCGTCGTTTTGCTGGTGCAAGTCGCGCTGGTGTGTTTTTGCTGGTGCCAGGTGTCAGAGGTCCACTGGTGATCCCCGATTGATCCTAGGGAAGGGTTACAGGCACGGTTGCCTGGGGGGTTATGGGCGCACTGACCCGCTACTGAAACAAGCCCTTTTATCCCAATGGTCTAGTGGTTGGGATTCTGAGATGGTATCAGAGCGAAGGTCTCGGGTTCGAATCCCGGTGTATGCACTTCGGGCATCCCAGTGCGGGGGGGTGTCAGAGGTCCACTGGTGATCCCCGATTGATCCTAGGGAAGGGTTACAGGCACGGTTGCCTGGGGGGTTATGGGTGCACTGACCCGCTACTGAAACAAGCCCTTTTATCCCAATGGTCTAGTGGTTGGGATTCTGAGACCAGGCGCGCACCACGCTCAGCGTCATGCGCATTATCCGCGTCGGCAGCAGCAAAGAAGGGCACGAGCATGTCGGCAGAACTTGGTGAGTTCAAACTGTGAAAGGGAGTGAGAGGGTAGTCATGTGCGAAAATACTATGTGATAAAGAATACCGGAGAGGCACAGATTGAGAGGGAGAGTGTGTGCGCATGACGAAGAGAGTGCGAGGAGAAGAGAGCATGAGGAGAGTTGAGAAGAATGTGAAGGAGAGTATGAGTGCAAAATTAGTAGATGAAATCGACATTCTAACCTCTGCTCCTTTCCTTACCGACTTTGTTTCAATGAGAGAGCAAGGAAGAGATAGAGTGATTCTTTTTGTTTCATATTAGATCCTTTCCCCTTTTTGCCTTTTGCATGATATACTTCGTTCTTCCGTGTATGTTACTTTGTTTTTTCTGGTCTCCTTATCTTCCTCTTAACATTCTGTTCAACGTTTTTCCCATGGGGACCATTTCGAGGTAGCTTGCTAGGCGAATTAGGGTATGAGGTCAATTCGTCCTAGTTTGGTCTGTTTTCGTTTATTTTGCTTCAATTTCTTGTGCCTATGTTATCCGCTTTTGTCTTCAATTTCCTTTCTTGTTTCTGGTTATTCCTGCATCTCGTCATTTCATCACACCTCATTTCCTTTTCTGTTTTTTTTTTTGTACCGACTATTTCTTTCGTTCCTCCTTTCTGCATTCTAAACCCGTTTCTCAGGAGTCTTGCTACTCAGGAAGGGGATTTGAATCTGGAAAATGTGTATTGGTCACTTTCCGGATTTATCTTGTCATATTGTCCATTTAATGTTGATTTGCATGTTATTTATTATCGCGGGTTTTGGCTGGGTTTGCTGTTGTTTGTGCTTTTGATTGTGTGAATGTGTTTGATTGTGAGTGCATTCATCTCATTGATCATTGCAATATTAATGCATGTCTGTCAATTTTAAAAAAGGGGTTCATTTCTATCATTTCTCATTGGTTCATTGGCGCACTCAGTGACTCGTGTGTTTGCCACTTCGAACTGGATTTGATAGTGTGAACCTCTTTTTTAGAGTTAATAGATTGCATTTTTTCATGTGTTGGTTTATTATTCAAAGACTTTGCTATTGACTTCCCCCCCATGCTAGGCAGGGGATGCGGTAGCCTAGTTTTTGGGTCGTTAACTATCACGCATTTGTATGACATCCCGTATGTTGCATTTCAGCATTTCGCTTCATGGAAAAGCATTTTCATCCATGTATCAGTATTATGCATCTATATATCTTGCTGCATTACATTCATTTAAACATGCGTGGTATGTACTTCATTACTCATATTCGTAACATTTTTTACATGCAATTATCACAACAACGGCAAGCAGTAAAACATAAAACGCAAACAGTATAGCATATAGGCAAAAAGCTACTATAAAAAAAGAAATTAATATATGCACAATGGGAAGGGTGTTACTGTAGCTTACGAATTTTATTTTCATGTTAAATGAAAAGAAAATTTGTCAAAATCGATTGTAAAGGGTTGCTTCGCAACCCAAAAAAATCACACAGGTCAGAACGTTGAACGTGGTGCACTAGGTATGTTCCAGAAACTGGGCTGTCCATTTGCTGCAGCCATCAGGACCAAAGCATTTGGAAGCATCTGTCATCCCGCTGCGAGTGCTCTTCAAGGGAGTTGTAACTTATCGCTAGCGATGCTCCCCCCCACTCTCAGGCATCTTTCGCGCAAAATGATTTGACCTCCCCTCCCCCTCCGTGACTGGCGGTTTCACGATGACGTGGAAGGGCGGTTGGTGGTGGTGGTGTTCGGGGAACAGTCCTTCTGCTCGTGAATTCAAAAAAAGACGATGACAGCTTCTGTGCATCTGTTGCAATGTGCCGCAGCGGTTGCGATGAGGACCGAAATTTTCCCTGCACCGACTCTCTTGCTTCATTCTTCCTCGATCCCAAATTCCTTTCTGATGCACTCCACGTTGCAACCACGGGCCTGACTGACATCAGCCTTTCCCTTCTGAGCTAAGTTGTCGCAGCAGCGGATTTCACAACAGCCACAACAATGAACTGCGAGGCGACGTTTTCGGGTGTAAGTGGGGACTGGACTAAACAAGTCACGACTTTCTGTTCATCGCATTGTTCCACACCCATTACACCATGAGTTGCCTCACTCTTCTAGCTCGTAATGCTTCACAGTGAGTTAGTACCCGCTAACATCCCGTTCTAGTTTGTCTTAGAGGCGTTGCGATGACCCTCATTGAAAAGAAGAGAGGCCCGTACTCGATCTACTGCCAAGCAGACGTAAAATAAGATTCGTTAAACGTACGCAAGTCCTTCAAAATCAACTAGTCGACCTTACAAGTATCAATATCGTCGCGTCGCCTCATGTCGCACCTGCCTCAGGGAAACCTTCTTCCGCTCATCCGCGCTGGCGACATCGTCTCCATCTGGCATGACGTCATCCTCTTCGCCTCCCCAGGCGCGAGTAACTCTCCGCGGCGCGCCTCGCCGCGCGCCGTCTCCGCTTCTGCAGCGCGGGGCAAGCCAGCGACTATTCCCCTCCTCAACTTCATCTGCACTTCTTCCAAGTCTAGTTCGTTCGCCGCGTCGCTCGCCGGTCGCCGTTGCCGTCTAGCGCTTGACGGCGCCGTCAAAGTCGACGACTCGGAGCAGCGGCCGTGGAACCTCGGGATTATCCCGCAGACGTGCGTCCTCGGGCCGTCCCCCGTCTCGCAGGAGTCCTCCGCAACCTCCGCCACCGCGCTTCCCGACGTCGACCTTTATGATCCACTCGACTCCTCTGCCGCCGATCCCAGCGACCCGTTCAGCCGTTCCGATGATTGCGGCGAGTTTCCCGTGATTCTGGACAACGCGCCGTTAGAGACGGTGGAGGTGGGCGCAAAGGAGCGCGACCCGGGCGACGTGTTCCCCGTGCTGCCGCTCCTCGCGCTCCCCGTGCGCCTGCGGTCCGGCCTGGGGACGGAAGTTTCGTGGAAGCTGGTCGTTGTGGCGGCGGATGATCCGCTCGTTCTGGCCAATCAGGTGGCGACTATAGTGGAGACGATTTTACCGAGAGTTAAAGGCTGGGCCGCGGGAGGGTTCGGGGGTTTCACGGGAGGATCAGGGGGAGTCGCTTCCGACCATTGGTGGATCCCCGAATCTCCGCGGCGCGAATCGGACGACTGGGAGGAAGCTGCGCGGAAGGCGCAGGGCGTGGTTCTCGAGGCGCATAGCATATGGAAGCTGCTGGTTCCTTCGCTCCGCCGCCCCACGCTGCAGCGACGGCAGCGCGTGAGCGAGCGCACGGTGGATGGCTGGCGGGATAAGCGCGGGGCGGGGGACGACGACGAGAGCAACCTCTTGAAGCTCATCGCACGACCCGGCGCTAGCGGTGGGCTTGGCGGGTTTGGCGGGGGGAAGTCCCGCGGCGGCGGCGGAAACGGGAGGGAAGGGAGCGGAGCGGTGGCTGGGGCAAAGGGAGGGCTCAGCAGGGGGAGATGTTCCGCCGCCGCTGCTGCGGCGGCTGTTGCGGCAGCTGAAGGGCGCTCGGCGCGCAACGAGAGTGATATGGGAGGCGGGGAGTGGGAGGAGGAGGAGGGGCGAGACGAGGGAACGAGACATCTGAGTCGGACGGCGGGCGGGGAGCATTCGCGTGGCAGCGGCGGTGGAAACAACGGCGGCAGGAGCAGCGCGGAAAGCAACAGCAGCGGCTCTGCAGGTGGGAAGCGCAGAGGCGTGCTGCCGCAGATTTCGCCGCGCTCCTTGTCGATGACAACCGTCGCGGCTGCGCGCGCGCTCGTGAAAACCGCCACGTGGAGCAGGGCGTCTAGTCTTAACGGTACCAGCAGTGGTCATGGTACTGATGGTAGGAACGGTAGTAACGATAGCATAAGTCCTGGGAGTAAGAGCTTCGGTGCAAGTGCGGGTAATCGCAGTTTCACGAGGAATCGCGGCGACGAAGAAACTTGCGCGTTGAATCGGAGCAAAACTTGTAACGGAGCTGACTCTGCGTCTACCACCCGGGTTCGGCCGCGTAGCAAATCGCCTTTGCCGCGTCCGTTCTCGTCCAACTCTCGTAAGAATTCGCCACCAGACGCGCGAAACGCTCATTTTGACGATAGTTCGCTAGGGCATGGCGCTGGCGAAGGGCGACGTGGCTCCTCCGTTAGGGTTACCTCAAGTGAACAAACTGAGTGTGCTTCTGGAGGGTTTAGAAAGTCCGGTCTTGCGGATGAGCTTGGCGAAATTGACGACTCTAGCGATTTGGGTGAGGTCGTGAAGGGCAAAACCGACGCGCATCGTATGTGGAACAGTGGACGGTTGGGAATGTCGTTTGGCAGCAAGTCAGGTGATACCTCCACCAGACCCACCTCCTCCAAAGCAACCACCCCCACCTGGGGAGGCTTGGGCTCCGGCTTTTATAGCGGGCCGGTGTTTGGTAGGTTGAGTAAAAGCCGGACCATTAAAGAAAGAGACGGGCAGCCGATCGCAACTTCACCAAGCGGGGCTTGGCAGGGGAATGAGGGCAGTGGAGATGGTGGTGAGGGAGATTATGGTGGTGCAGGTGGTAACTGTTTTCATATCGGTGACGGGAGCGGTTACGGCATTACCAGCGGTGGTGGAGAGCGGGTGCGGAGTGGGGCACGGGGTGCGTTCAGCAGGAGCAACACGGCATCAAGCACATACAGCTTCGTGAGCATGGGGAGTATGGCCAGCAGCCACAGTAGCCGCTGCAGCAAAAGCCCTGCTGCCACTCCAGACCTTCCTGCTGCTACTGCTGGGTATCACGGTGCGGGCAAGAGTCACGGAGTCGACAGACTAGTGCTCGATGGGCGGAGAGGGGAAACAGATGCGACGGCTCGTGCAGGAGAAACAGACGGCGGATGCCGCCCATTCACCCCGCCTATGGGCCGGTCAAAGACCGAACCGAGAAACCGTGGTTCAGGGCGATCGGGGCAGGGGCGACCGCGCAGGGTCCTGTCACCCACTGATGCACACGATGCTGCTGCCTCTGCTCACAACAATCACCACAATCACGACAATTACGATCATGACTCAGATGAGGATGATTCAGACGATGACGACAACTTTGCATTCTCTCAGCCCACTGCACCCTATGGCCTGATCCCCACACCTCACAGCCTCACCCCAACACCGGGCGCCACTAGGCGAATGTCGGAGTCTCACTCCCCTCTGCCCAGCCCGCCCGTGCTAAATCGCCGCTGGTCCCTGGCCTCCAGGACTGGCCCCACAGGGGAAGGAGGGGCGGGGCACCGTGGCCGGAACGTGTTTGTTGCCTCTGTTGGGGATGGGGGTATGGAGGTGGATGGTCGGCGGGGCAGTCGGGGACGGGATGGTGGGCCGGAGGCAGCAGAGAGGGCGGCAGAGGAGTGCAGTGATGACTGCTCCAGCCAGGCGAGCTCTAGCCATGCTAGTGTTGAGCATGCCAACAGCCACTACGGACAGCAACTGCGGGAACGGAGAATGCTGCCCAAATTACCCACACTACCCAAGTCACCCTCTCTGCCTAAATCACCCGCACTGCCCAAGTCACCTGCTCTACCCAAGTCATCTACAATGCCCAGGTCACCCTCCCTGCTCAAGTCACCCGCACACCCCAAATCATCCACACTGCCCAAGTCACCCTCCCTGCCCAAGTCACCTTATGCAGGAAAGAGTGGGTTGCGAGGGGGGGTCCGCATGGAACGACCACATCCTCCTGAGAGCAACCCCGTGAGGGCATGTGAGAGCAGTGTAGGAGGGAGCAGCATGGGTGTTCCTTCTGAGGTGCCGCAAACCAGAGGAGGCACCAGGAGGGGTGTGCGGGGCAAGCAGCGGGGGCAGCAGCAGCTGGTTCCAGAATGCGTTTCCACCGAGTCGGAAGTTCCTATGAGATCAATGAGCCCTGGCAGTAACATGCTCGCCAGAAGTGTGTCGTACGATCAGCCATCGCCGCAGGTAGCAGCGATGATTGCTGCTGAAGCGCCGTTGCCGGAGCCACCAGGCCGACGATTTGTATGGAGCCAAACAGAAGCCAGTGACAGACTGAATGCGGCAATGATTGCTGCTGAAACGCCGCTGCCGGAACCGCCAGGGCGACGATTTGCGGTTCGACCCAAGTCCAGCTGTGAGGTGAGAGCCGGAGGAGGGGTTGGGAGGAGTTTGGAGGAATGTGATGTGCGCTCTCGTCCTCCTAAATCTCCTTTGGCCAGAATGGTATCCTCTGGGGTTCTCCTTGCAGGTGGGGCAGGCAGGCGATGACCTTAGGAGGGATTTGTGGAATTGTGGTGGTGGTGGACGAGTGATGCTGGATAGGACTTGTGCTTTCAATTAATGGAATAAGCTCATGTCCTTGTTTTATCGATCTTGGCATCTGCCAAGTCTGTGGGTCCTTTTTTAATGAAATCAGATGTAGTTAGTGTACATAATGGCTAAGTAGCCTCAGTAAAAGTTATCATTCTGTTCTCGCTAGTGATTCATTAGCAAAGAAAAGTTGTGGGTGTAGATGACCTATTCCAATGCGTATAGCATTGTACCGCGAAACAAAATCAACGCGACAGCTGCAGCTTGCGACGTTTTCGCTAGCATCCATCCATCACCATCACCCGCTCGCCCGTCACTTTCGTTCTTCGTTTCTTTTCGTCGTCACCGACGCACGGATGACTAGACTCGAGGCCGGGAGAGCTCCGCTGTTACTGGTGCTCCTATCATTTCGCTGCAACCCTTGGCAAATTCTGTTCCGAATCCACACCACCATACCTTCGTTCCTAGCCCCCTTCTCCTTGCCGACCCCCTCCCACCCACAAAGTTCCCTATCAGCTTCAGGCGCGTCCCCGTCCCTCCCGCGCCTCCGCCTGCGACCCAGCCGACGCTCGCTAAGACGTCGCAGAGTTTGTCGCGTGATGTCTCCTACCGCCTGTCATGCTGTTGCTTCCCATCCCACCGCGCCGTCGCTCGTTTCTCTATTTGAAATTCGCTGGCAAGGCCTTGACGCGCAGTCGCACGCGGTATCGCACGATCAGTGGCCTACGCAATCGCACGACGATAGTACAAACGAACGGCAGGATGTCCGACAGATTGAATCTACCTTCCCGCTCGGTCGCTTAGTGCAGGGAAAGACGCAGCAGCAGTACCAACGTCCTGAAATAGAAACAGTGAAAGAGCGTACAGTAGAACAGCAGCAGCAGCAGCAGCAGCAGCAGCAGTTTCAGCCAATGGGGTGCTTTCCTTCCCGTTCATCCTTCGATTGTTGCTTCACTAATAGTGTAAAAACAAGTTCTATTATCGAGAGTAGGGGCAAGTTTGCGAGCCCAAACGGCATGCAGAGTGGCTTCGATAGTACGTTGCCGCGTTCCACACATCACCTCAGTTATCGAGTTTCTCAGAAGCGAGGACAAGAACGGTCAGTTACTGAAGCTGGTGATATAAAGTGCGGCAGCGGCTCGTATGGTCTATCTAAACTAGTCGCACAACCCCTATGGGCCGATTCGTTACATACTGCTCCGTTAGGAGCCTCAGCACCATCATCATCGTTATCTGAAAACAAAGAGCCAGCTTCAGAAAGGGTACATGAGGTTCCTGACGAAGTGTTACGGCAAATCTTCAGCCGTCTGAGCGTGGTAAGCTTATATCGAGTCAAAAGGTAAAGTTGCTGCGTTTCTGCTGACCTCCTCTCCTTCGTCCCCCTTCCCCTTCCCCTTTTCTTGCCCTGCCTCCATTCGTTCCCTTCCATGTTTTCCTATTGCGTGCCGTACGGTGCTCCTCTGTCCATGCCTCAACGCCCCTTGCTGCTGCCCTGCGTGATCCGTGAGTCTGACCCGTCTTAAAATCCTGCTGTCTCTGTACCCTCCTTTCCCTTCACGATCTGGGGCTGACCTCCCTTGTGTGGCGACTGAGTGTCGCCAACTTTTGGAGGCACCCCCGTGGTAACCGCCATTCTGACCTCCCCTGCGTGGCGGCTTTGAGTCACCTCTGGCGCCCTCTCGCCCTCAACCCCTCGCTCGCTGTGCTGCGTTGCTCCCCTCCCTGTTCTCTAGCCATCCCTATCTCCATCTCGTTCTCTCTACACCCATCCCCTCGCCTCCACATCACGCCAGGCTGACCTCCCCCGAGTGACGCTGTGTGCTGCTGCTGGCGCCCTCTCGCCCCCAACCCCTCGATGTGCTGCGCTGCGCTGAAATCATTTTTTTTTTTCAAAAGTGATTTCAACATCCCTTTGTTTCCCTACTCCCCCTCCCTGTTCTCTAGCCATCCCTGTCCTCTTCGCGTTCTCTTCCCACCATCCCCCTTCCCTTCACATCCCGCCAGGTTGACCTCCCCCGCATGGCGGCTGTGTGCCATCGCTGGTGCCCTCTCGCCCCCAACCCCTCGCTGTGCTGCTCTGCCGTCATCCCTGTCACCATCCTGTTCTCCTCCCGCCCATGCCCTTGATGTTCCGTCAGGCTGACCTCCCCCACGTGGCGGCTGCGTGCCGTCGCTGGTGCCCGCTCGCCCTGGACCCCTCGCTGTGCTGCGCTGCCTTCTGCCGCTCCCACCGCCTGCTCTCCCTGCGTCTCCCCTCCTCCGCTGGTCCAGCACCACCAACGCCAGCATCAGCATCTGCATCAGCATCTGCATCATCATCAGCAGCAGCAGCAGCAGCACCAGCACCAGCACCAGCTGTAACAGCAGCACCAGTGCCAGACGCAAAGGGGGATAAGCTATCATCCACTCTCCCCCCTTCCGCCTCCACTCCTGCAGCGCGCTCCCAACCCCCTCCCCTCCCCTCGTCCCCGACTCCTCGCACCGCCCGCCGTGGCCCCCCCTCCCTCCTCTCGCTCCTCGCGTCACCCGAGTTCGCCCTCTCGCACCCCATTGGCCGCACTGACTCCATTGCCAGCCTGGCAGTGCGCTTCCACGTGCAGGTGGGTCACGCTGACACGTGGCATCCTGATGGGCCTGCCACGTGGGTTGTTTAAGATTGACACCATCCCGTGCCCGCACCGACTCTGTCACCCGTGCATGTGTGCTGCGCATGCATCTGCGATCCCATGTCTATCCCATGTGCACTCTTTGTCTTCTCCAGGCCATGGACATCCGTCACCACAACAACATCATGAGCGACCATGCCCTGCCCTCACGGCTCATGCATATGTGCTTCCCGTGCCCATGCATATGTGCTTCCTGTGCCCATGCATATGTGCTTCCTGTGCCCATGCATATGTGCTTCCCGTGCCCATGCATATGTGCTTCCCGTGCCCATGCATATGTGCTTCCCGTGCCCGTGCGTATGTGCTTCCCGTGTCCATGCATATGTGCTCCCCGTGCCCATGCATATGTGCTTCCCGTGCCCATGCATATGTGCTTCCCGTGCCCATGCATATGTGCTTCCCGTGCCCATGCATATGTGCTTCCCGTGTCCATGCATATGTGCTTCGTTCCCCATGCATATGTTCGCCCCCCCCAGGCCATGGACATCCGGCGTCTCAACAACATCATGAGTGATCATGCCATCCACACGCGCACGCGCCTCCTCATCCCCATCCCCCCCTCGCGCCGCCCGGCTGAGCTGGCGGGGCGGCATTGCGCCATCCAGTTTGATTCGCACGCGCGGCGGGAGGTGCTGCTGGTGTTCCAGGAGGGGGAGGAGGCGGAGATCCGGCAGGCGTATGGAGAAGCACGAAATGCCAGGTGCTTATATCGAGCGTGATTATACGGAGAGTGTTAGAAATATGTTAGTGATGCGGAGAGACTGATTATGTGAACAACTCTGCTGATCCTCTTGATAAAGGTATGATATGCATTTCTTGTCTGGATTTTCTTTGGCGCCACATCACGTCTTGTGGGTGGCATCGCATCATGTGAGTATCATCAATCATCATGCTCGCACAGGCCAAGACTATCATCAATCATCATGCATCCAAGTTACCTTGTGTGTGTTTCTTCTTTTTGCTGGTGCCAGGCCGTTGTGTCATTATGCCATCATGTATTCTGCCATTGTATGCCATTGTACCATAACACCATGATGCCTACCTGCTTCTCGCACTCCCTCCGTCTCTCATGCCCTCAGCGACATGTGGCGCTAGGCAGGTGGCTTTTTTCAGTCACTAGCAGCACTCAAATGTCATTTTTCTCCTCTTGTTACTCCACCTGCTCCCCACTCTCTCTCCCTCCCTCAGACCCTCGGCAGCACATGGCACTGCGCAGGTGGTTTCTCTGTTGCAAAGAGCCCTTCAGGTGGACGAGCCAACAGCGCAGTACTACCTGGGCGAGGCGGGCAGCGATGTGCGGGCGGCAGTGGCACTGTTCATGGAGGACCAGCAGTGGGAGCGGGCGCAGGCACAGGCAGGGGAGAGGAGGAAGAGCCTTGTGATTGGCTGCAGGAGGGGGAGAGCTGATAGGTTGTAAGGTGAATTTCCTTCTATGCTTCGAGCTGTCCGCATGTGAAGCTACGCAGTGCCAAATCTGCATATTCCGCGTGATGTGATGCCTCAAGCCGCTCGTGTGGAGCAAATGCAGTGCAGAAGGTGAAACGGTGGCATCATGGTACCTTGTAGAGAAACGGACAGAGGGGCTCCTGGCCAGGTCCAGCAGGGCCCGACAGCAGCAGGGTGCAGCTGAATCCTCATGGTCAAACCTAGGGAGGTCATCATGCCATGTGATCCTGTTGGATGGCCTGTATTGTCTGGGTAAAGGGAAAAGTGCCAGCTACCTAAGAGAAGCTATGCACAGGAAGCAGCAAGAGTAGTCCAACATCTACGACGTTCAGTAATCATTCCCCATGTACGCAAAGTCCGTTGCCGACGGAGGGGTAACCTCCGAAGGGGTGGTGCTGGTACCTACTGAGAACCGAACCTGTGCTCGCCTGCAGACTGTACGGGCCTGCTCACGCTGGTGGACAAGGGAAATGCGCTTGTAGAAGCTGGTCTCAAACAATTGCGGAATGAGGTTGGATGAACCACCCAAGTCACGAAGGTGTGAAGCACCACGGCGACTGCACTCTTGAAGGAAATCCTGGAATGTCTTCCCAAAACACCCAAAAGTCTCAAAAGCAATTGCACAACAAGTTTTTGAGTACATGAGACTTTCGACGAGTTTGGGGCATTTTAGGTTTGGATCCGAACCAAATTTACAAACTTAGAAGGTTCGGCTACACCTAGCTATTTGGATTCGATTAGTACCCCAACCAATCACAAACAAACTTGCACTCTCAACTGCATAAAGCCCGTGCCTAGAATGGCAAGGGTTCATAAATACTGAACTTGAAAAGGGTTGCGCGACGGTTGACGAGGGAAAAATTCGCCTGAGGAAGTTGGCGAAGGCAGAATGCCCTAAAGTGTATCGCAACTTCAACTTCAACTTCCCGAAACTTGAACAAACAGCTTCGACAAAACCAAACCCAACCACTCTCATGTAGCTCACAACCCGGATTTCCGCCATGTCCACAAGCACTCTCTTTGAGCAGCCTGAGAAAAACATGCGTAAGACCAGATAGAGCATCAGTGTTAGGAAAATATGAAGTATCCGGAGTAAAATAGCTAGGTATGACATGTGAGAACATATGCTTTTATGCCGGAATCGAGAGGAATCCGAGGACCGAGGTAGGGAATGTGGCTCGAATGCGAGTGTGAAGCAAGGAGATATTGTGCGAGATGAGAAATTAGAGCGTTGTCGAATCCCCTTCCCCCGTCCGTCCATATCTCGCATCCACCGTCCGTCGCCACAGCTTCCCCCATCCGTCGCACCAGCTTCCCCCGCCCATCGCCCTCGCTTCCCCCGCCCATCGCCCTCGCTTCCCCCGCCCATCCCCCTCGCTTCCCCCGTCATCGCCCTCGCTTTCCCCTCCCGTCGCCCTCGCTTCCCCCTCCCGTCGCCCTCGCTTCCCCCTCCCGTCGACCTCCCATCTCCCTCCCGTCCCCCTCCCGTCCCCCTCCCGTCCCCCGCCAATCGCCCTCCCGTCCCCCTCCCATCGCCCTCCCGTCGCCCTCCCATCCCCCTCCCATCCCCCTCCCATCCCCCTCCCATCCCCCTCCCATACCCCTCCCATACCCCTCCCATCCCCCTCCCATCCCCCTCTCATCCCCCTCTCATCCTCCTCCCATCCCCCTCCCATCCGCCTCCCATCCCCCTCCCATCCCCCTCCCATCCCCCTCCCATCCCCCTCCCATCTCCCTCCCATCCCCCTTCCATCCCCCTCCCATCGCCCTCCCATCCCCCTCCCGCCGCCCTCCCATCCCCCTCCTCTCCCCCTCCCAACCCCCTCCCACCCGCCTCTCATCCCCCTCCCATCCCCCTCCCATCCCCCTCCCATCCCCCTCCCATCCCCCTCCCATCCTCCTCCCATCCCCCTCCCATCCCCCTCCCAACCCCCTCCCACCCCCCTCTCATCCCCCTCCCATCCCCCTCCCATCCCCCTCCCATCCCCCTCCCATCCTCCTCCCATCCCCCTCCCATCCCCCTCCCATCCCCCTCCCATCCCCCTCCCATCCCCCTCCCATCCCCCTCCCATCCCCCTTCCATCTCCCTCCCATCGCTCTCCCATCCCCCTCCCATTCATTCTGCTCATCTTTCCGTCCTTATTTTCCTGGGTCAATCTGTTTCCCCTGCTCATTCTCACTGTGTTTCTCCTGCCCATTCTCTCCCCAACTACTCGCTCTGTTCCTCTCTGCTCACTCTCTTTCCCCCTGTTCGCTATATTTCTTCCTGTTCACTCTCTCTTCCACTGCTCAATCTGTTCCCCCTTTCACTCATACCCATCTCCAACCACGCAGTGTACAGGTCCCAGGCCCCCAACACCACAGGCCAAGGTTGCATGCAGTGTAGCAAACAAGAACGGGGAAAAAAAAAATACATTTCCTAGCTGTCTTCTTCGTGTCGATAATCAACTGCGAATTTTGTTGCACTTTTTTGTAGTGGTCATGTGCATGGCTGCTCTCAGCTCAAAGTTTGTAATACCGGCATAACAAAGCATCCAAGATCCAAACATTGCATGGCAAGTCATTATAGTAGTACTATCAAACTGCCAACCAACACATCACCACAGCACCAGCACTGATGCAAAGCGGACCTGTACAAACACAAATCAGGAAATTACATGTGAGATGGCTGAGCAGCAGGGAAGCATACGGTGAAGGGCAGCACGGATCGCGTGCAGAGGAGGGAATGGGAGGGGAATGACAAGGAATGCAACAGAGAGGCAGGGGCAAAGATTGAAGGGTGAGCAGGGGACAGCGAGCAAAGGACAGAAACAACAAATGTATGAGTGAGCAAGGAACAGGGTGAGCAAGATGACAGAGAGCAAAGGGAAAGTGAGAGAAGGACAGAAACAGCAAAGGAGTGAGTAAGGCACAGAGTGGAAGGGTGAGGGATGAGTGTCAGGGTGGGTATGGTGGAATGGGTGGTGGACAGATGGTGGAAGAGTGTGACGTGATACCAATGCAGAGAAGGCAAACGAAAGAGACTATTTGATTGACCTCCCAACTACCTTACCTGAGAGGGAAAAGAGGAGAGGGGCTGAGAGGGAAAAGAGGAGAGGAGCTGAGAGGGAAAGGAAGGAGAGGGGATGAGTGGGAGGGCGGCGAGGCGAAGACAGAGAAGGGAAGGAGGGGGACAGAGAGGGAAAGGAGGAGAGCAGCGGAGAGGGAAGGGAGGAGAGGGGAGATGGGAACATGTGTGAGCATGCCGTGTGTGACGTGTGTGAGTGACAAAGGAAGATGGGAAGAGGAGGAACGGGGAAGGGCGCAAAGGGGGAAGAGGGGGAGAGGAGCAGATATGAGCGACATGTGCTAGTGAGTGGTGTGTGTCACGTGTGAGCGACATGTGCGAGCGACGTGCGTGGGTGACGGGAGTGAGAGCGCGACAGTCACCGAGAGAGCGACGGAAGTGAGAGCGCGACAGAAGTGAGAGAGCGACGGGAGTGAGAGCGCGACGGAAGTGAGAGAGCGACGGGAGTGAGAGAGCGACGGGAGTGAGAGAGCGACGGGAGTGAGAGAGCGACGGGAGTGAGAGAGCGACGGAGTGAGAGCGTTGCGGGAGTGAGAGAGCGATGGTAGTGAGAGCGCGACGGAAGCGAGAGAGCGACGGGAGTGAGAGAGCGACGGTAGTAAAAGCGTGACGGAAGTGAGAGACGGAGTGAGAGCGTGACGGGAGTGAGAGAGCGACGGGAGTGAGAGCGTTGCGGGAGTGAGAGCGTTGCGGGAGTGAGAGAGCGATGGGAGTGAGAGCGCGATGGGAGAAAGAGTTTGACGGGAGAGAGAGAACGACGGGAGTGAACGACGGGAGTGAACGACGGGAGTGAGGGCGGGCCTTGAGTGATTGCGGACCGGCATTGAGTGCGGACTGGGATAACCTTCAGTGGCGACGAGTGATTCTCACGGTGGCGATCAATCTGAGGGTCCTGTCTTTGTCCATGGCTACGAGATCGGATTTGTTATGCGCGAAAAAGTCGCCGGGAAGTTTCATCTGTATGTGCTACTAACGTCTTAGCATAGCGCGGGGAGATGGGCGTAACTATGCTGGCTACTGACGAGAACTTGGGCTATGGAGCCCACTGAACTACGAGTCTAGAAAGGTATTCTCGAGTTTCAAGTTCCAGAAGTGTGAACAGTGGTACTTGTCCCTGCTTGTTTCTCGCGAGGCTCGTTGGTGTTTTTGCTGAGGGGCATTTGGCCAATCACCTTCTGGCCCACCAGCTCCCTTCTCGGTGAGTCGCGAGAGATCAGCTTTCTGAACCTGGTTACCCTGTTCTTGACGAACACAAGCTCAAGAATCTTGAAGTTGAACCCTTACCATTCTAGACTCGGGCTATAACACTTGTAGCACGTGAGACCCTGGCCTTAACGAGAAACGATAATGTTCTCACTGAGCCCAGTTTTGGTTCACTGAGGGCAAAAATTACCCCAATTCTCTTTAGTCTGCCGTAAGTTCGAACAGCGCCGCCCGTGGGGCTCGAACCCACGACCACAAGGTTAAGAGCCTTGCGCTCTACCAACTGAGCTAGGGCGGCTGTTACGGCAATAATACTTGTTTTTTCTAACATTAGACAGCACCACTACAAAAACACTAAATATTTACACCAAATTTCAATATGTGGTTTCTAGTTATATTTTATGCAAAGCCCAAATAGGTGGAAATTCGAAGCAATTCTAGAAGGTCCCGTTTACTGGGTAAAGCGTACGACCCATTTCAGCCACAAGATGGCTACGAAACAGAGCCCCACAAAAGTCCTACAATGGAATGATTTCGCACGCGAGGAGGAAACATCAGATTCGTGAAGCGGCGACTTTACGGCAGGGCTTTCCTGTTCTTTTTGGTCACACTGCGAGGATCAGAAGATTCGGGCAAACAACAAACTCCTTCAGTGTATGGGGTTCACGGTTGGAAGCCGTGCTTAGGCTAGTTTCCTGGTCATGTATTCTTTCAATAGGGTATTTCAAGACATCAGCGTAGTTCCCCGAGTGGAGATCGGATCGTCACTAGTGTAGGAATTACAACTTGTGAGGATGAGGTTTCACAGGAATTTACTGTGCAGAATTCTCTGCCGGGATCTTATTCTCAAACTTTAAGGTTCATCATACACTCTGTAGGCAGCTCCCAGCGGCGGTTCTGAGGTGATGGGGCAGCCGCGTGGCAGCATGAGAATGTGAATTGTGGCGGAACGGTAGAGCGTTCGATCGATCTATACGTGGCCGTGAGCGAAAGATTCGACGGTGTAGCCACCAGAGCCACCCGTTAGGACCAGAGAGATTTGGTTCATGTTACGGAGCCAGAGACATGGCTCCAAGCGCCACACTTGAATGAGCAGCAGAAGCTGCCATGAGTGAGTGAAGGGTTTGCTTGTTTGTCTCACCCGCTGAGCAGAAGCACAGCAGCAACAGCAGCCACGAGTTCAAGAGGATGCGCTCAGTGCCACGTCTCTTGATCGATCCTTGGTTGAGATCCAGGAACCGTTTTTTAGGGTTTGGTTTGTTGTTTCAAATCCCAACTAATATCTTCTAGTACAGAATGGAATATTTGTGAAGTCGCGATCTGAGGGTTTGCGTGTGAGAGTCCGAAGTCTCAAATGGAGGAGTTGTAATGAAGCAAAACTACCTCAGATTGGTCTTACAAGCCTTGCTTTGAGGTAGACTTTGTCACGCGTCGCTCTCGCTTTCAGTCAGCTTTCGTCTTGGTCGAGGCATTGAACAGCACAAACGGGGAACCCTGTGTAGCTATCGCTGGCGAAAGAAACGAGAATTTATTCAGTTGATAAAGTACAATACTGTATAAAATGAACCGCCGTCACGATCTTGCGCCACGCCGGCTGGAGCCGTATGCCTCGGTAGGATGATGCGACACTGAACCCAACTCCAAGGCTGACTGTTCTCGCGATTTTCTGCCAGATCGTTAACCCGACGTTTGATTGAATGACATAGTACAGTTTTGAGGCGCCTCATACGTTGGAGAGAGTGGCATAGTACAGTGAAAGCCTGGCCGTTTATACTTCGCTGCTGGTTGGCAGGTTTAACGAAGCGAATTGCTAGGAGCGACCCACCAATTGGCCTCTAGAAAGGAAATCAACCTTAGCTTCTCACAGCCGATCGAGGGCCCGCTGTGGGCCTTCTGACCAGTCTCCTTGCGCGTGCCGAGCACATGCCTTCATCCCGATCACCCACTCCGCCATCCGCCAATTCCCCCACTCGTCCCGCCTCCTCACCCGTCCCCGGCCCCCCACCCTCTTCCCTCCGCCCGCTCACGCTTCTGGCTCCCCTCTCCCCCGCCGCGCAATTGCCTTCCGCGGGGCAACCTTCCCCCGCGCCAATTACGCTCCTCCCATCCCTGCGCAACCTCCCCGGTCCATCCTTCCCCAAGTCCCCCTCCCCGCCGTCAGACGACCCACCATGTCTCCCCGCCGACCCCGGCACCACGCTTCGCTTGGTTTCCACCACCACCGCGCTCTCCCCCGCGCTGCTCCCTTCCGTTCCGCCGCCCGACCCCCCCGCGCGCCGCATTAGCCCGCCGCTGCCCCGTCGGATGCGCAACATCAGTCACGTAGCTCCGCGCGAGGGGTCGCTATCGCGGCAGCTGCTGCGGCAGCACGTGCAGCGGGAGCAGCAGCGCAGCAAGTGCCAGCGGCAGCAGCAGCAGGAGGTATTGCTCAGTCAGTGGCGCCGCCAGCAGCAGCACGATCTCGCCGCCGCCGCCGCCGCTGCCACAGCTTCCCCTCCCGCTTCTTCTCCCGCTCCCGCTCCCGCTTCCGCTTCCGCCGTTGCCTCCGCCTCCGCCTTCCCGCCTGCCACAGCTGCGCCAGGCGTGGGTACGGGTGGGAGGGAGGCGGCAGGAGGGGCAGAGGGCGAACGGGTATTTACTTTCATCGGTAGGCGATCGGCTGTAGTCGGTGAGGGTGTAGGGGACGCACTGGTGGGGATCAGGGCTGACGCAGCTGATCAATTTGTGGCACCTGAAGCACCTGATACGGCACCTGAAGCAGCACCTGACGCGGCACCTGACGCAGCACCTGACGCGGCAACTGACGCAGTACCTGACGCACCTATGGATATGGATCCGTCGCAGCAGCACCTGAGAGAGACCCGGCCGGGGGAAGGTCGCAGTGACGCGGATCTCGACCCCCGCGCGCGCCTTATGCGCCCGCCGGCTCCGCCGTCCGCCAGCCGTGGCGGGGCGGAAGGCGGGATGGCGCGGGAGCGCGTGAGACTGATGGGCGCGGTACTGCGGGCTGCGCCTGGCGCGCACGCGGCGGGCGGTGGGGCGGAAGGCGGAAGAGTAGGCGCGGGAGCAGTGAGATCCGCGGATGGGGTGGGCGAGGGGAACGGTCAAGCGCAATGGCTACCGGCGGGTGGGGACGAGGGGGTGGGGGACGGGGTGGAGGACAACGAGGCGCGCCGGAAGCGCGCGCGGACGGAACGGCAAGGCGGAGAGGGCGCGGCAGGCGCGGTGGGTGAGATGGGTTATGGCGGGGCATGGCGGGGGGAGCAGGATAGGGGCGGAAGTGCGGGGTTGGGGGGATTGCAACATGAGGGGCAAGGGGCTGGGCAAGGATGGCCGGGGGAGGATGAGCGGAAGCCGGCGCAGGATCAGGCGCGCGAGCAGGGACAGGGGGAACAGGGGGAACAGGGGGAGCCAGGGGAGGAGGAAGAAGGGGAGGAGCAGGCTCAGGAGCAAGAGCAGGCGCAAGAGCAGGAGCGGGAGCAGGAAGGGGAGGAGGTAGGGGGGGAGGATGAGGGGGAAGGCGCGAGCATTCGGCAGCGGCTGCTGCAGCAGCACAGGCAGATGCTGGCGGCGGCGCAGCACTCGCTGCTCATGCGCGGCGGCGGGGAGGGCGCGGAGGGCGCGCACGGCGGTGTGGACCTTCTGCAGCAGCAGCGCCAGCTGCAGCGCCAGTACTTGCGCCTGCTGCAGCGGGACATGCGCGCGCATCTTAACAGGGGGACGCCCGGGGGAGGCAGGGGGCGGGGCGGAGCGCTGGGGGCGGACGGGCGCGCGGGTGTAGCAAGCGCAGGGGGAGTTGGGGGACAGGAGAGGATGTGGGCGGTAGCTGGGGCCGCGGCTGGGCGGCGGGGGCAACAGGGGCAGGTGGGGCATCAGGGACAGGTGGGGCAGCAGGCAGCAGATACAGCTGGCAGGATAATATCGTCTCCAGTCGTAGTAGCAGGAGCACCGTCGGCAGCAGCGCCAGCAGCAACGGCAGCAGCGGCAGCAGCGCCAGTGCGGGCAGTTTCGCCCACAGGCGGCGTGAGAGGCGAGGCGGCGCAGCGGGTGGCGGCAGGGGGGTGGCGGCGGGACGTGCTGGGGGACGGGGTTGCGCGCGCGGATGCAAGGCGGGCAGGCAGCGGTGTGGATGAAGGGGCTGGAGAGGAGGCAGGGGCGGAGGCGGAGGGGGCGGCGGAGGTTGAGGGGGAAGGGGAAGCGGGGTGGGAGCAAGGAGAGGGGCGGGGTGACGGGGGAGAGGGCATGGGCGCGGAGGTGTGGAACGAGCCAGCTGCTGCGGGGTGGGAGCAAATGATGGGTGAGACCCGCGCAGCAGTGATGGGCGAGACCCGCGCAGCAGTGATGGGCGAGACCCGCGCAGCAGTGATGGGCGAGACCCGCGCAGCAGTGATGGGCGAGACCCGCGCAGCAGTGATGGGCGAGACCCGCGCAGCAGTGATGGGTGGCGCAAGGCCACTGGTGGGTGAGCCTGCGCGGGCGGCGGAGGGGTGGTTCCACCCGGTTGTGCAGGCGGATATACGGCGCAGGGCGCAGCAAAGGGGTGCCGCTGCTGGCGCAGCTGCAGGTGGCGCTGTTGGTGTGGCTGGTGCTGCGGGCGGTGGTGATGCTTATGGTGGTGGTAACGCTTATGGTGGTGGTAATGGTGGTTTCGAGGAGGAGGCAGGAGAAACGGGCTGGGGGGAGCGCGAGGGAGCAAGGGTTGCGCATGGGGCGCATGGGGGGGCACATGGGGCGCATGGGGCGCATCCCGCGCCTGCTGTACCCTCAGAGCGTGTGCTTGTAACGGGGCCGTTCCTCTTTTCGACGCAGCAGCTGGGGGGGCGCGCGGAAGAGGGGCTCCGCAGCAACTCTAACGTCTGTGCGTCCCCCCGCGCGGGGGGCATGGGCGCAGGCGTGGGGGAGCGCACGGGGAGCTCGCTGGACGAGACTGAGGAATCGGAGGGGAGTGGCGGAGGCGCGGGGGAAGGGGGAGGCGGAGGGGGAGGGGGAGGGGGAAGGGCGCGGGAGACGGAGAGGGAGGAGTTGGGGAGAGGAGAGGGGGGAGGGAGGGGCAGGGCGGGGCAGGGGAGTCGGTTGGCGGTGGTGTGTGGGGTGGCGCGAGGGGGAAAGGGGGAAGGGAGGCAGATGGGAGGCAGGGAGGTGGAGCAACGGAAAGCGGGGGAGGGGAGAGTGCAGGGCGGCAATGCGCCAGGCAATGGCGCTGGTGGCGCTGGTGGTGGCGGAAGGGCGGCTGGCGCTGCTGGCGCAGGTGGTGATGTGGGCATTGGTCATGGCGGAGGGCCAACAGCGGCAGGCCGGGCAGGAGTGGCAGCAGGGGTAGCAAGGCCGCAGGCGCCTCTGGCAGCAGGCCCCAGGCAGCTGCAGCAGCAGCAGCAGCAGCTATGGCAGCAGCAGCAGCAGCAGCAGCTATGCCAGCAGCAACCGCAGCAACAGCAGCACTGCCACGAGCCTTTGCCGCCACCGCCACCCCCACATCAGCAGCTGAGGCAAACGCATGGGATGGTGGAGAGAGGAGCAGCAGGCGGAGCAGCAGGCGGGGCAGCAGCAGCAGCAGCAGCAGCTGTTGCTGCTGGTGCGCCTGGGAGAGGCAGAGATGGAGGCCCAGCCACTCTACCCACCACCGCCCCCTCCTCCGCACTTCAACCCCCCTTCCTCCGCCACCCTCCTCCCCACCTCCCCCACACACCATCCGCGCCCGCCGCCCTTCAATCCCCAGCCCCTCCCCCCGTCCGCGCTGCAGCAACCCCCTCCCCTCCGCCAACGCACCTCCCCTCACCACCCGCCATGCCGCCTCCCAGGCTGGACCCACCAGCAGCCGCGCCTCAACCCAGGGTAGACTCGTCCTCTATCACACCTCAACCGTTACTGTCGCTGCGGCGCTGGTTGAACCGGGCAGGCAGGGAGGTGGATAGACTCGAGAGCCTGTTCCTGTTCGCGCAGGTGGTGGACATGGTCGCTGCCGCCCACACGCAGGGCCATGTGGTTCGCCACGTGCGGCCGGCGTGCTTTGTCCTGTCTGCGCATCGAAGGGTGGTGTACCACCCGCCGTTCCTGCGGGCGCGACCCGGGGAGGCGGGGGAGGGGGAAGTGGGGGAAGGGGAGGGGGAGATGGGGGAGGATGGTGGTGGAGGGCAGGCGCGGCTGCAACAGCAGCAGCAGCAACAACAGGAGGAGGAGGAGCAACAGCGGCAGCAGCAGCAGGGGTGGCGGCAGCAGGAGGAGGGGCGCGGAGGCGGAGGGGCAGCAGAGGGGGCAGTGACGTGGAGGGAGCAGCAGGCGGAGGCATGGCAGAGGGCGATGCTGCAGGAGCAGGGGGAGGAGGGGATGGTGGCGCAGGGGCAGGGGCAGGGGCATCTGGGGCAGGGGCAAGCGGGTGGGAGGGCGGGGCGAGCAGCAGCAGGGCGGGGCATGGCAGGGCAGCAGCGATTAACCCCCGGTGCTGGAGGGGCAGAGGCAGGAGAACGCGGAGGAGGGGACATGCAGTGGGGAGGCGGAGCGGGAGGGGCAGGGGGTGAGGGGGGGAGGGCGGAGGAGGAGGAGGCACGGTGGTACACGTCACCGGAGGAGGCAAGGGGTGACCCTGTGGGGGCGGCGTCTGATGTCTTCAAGCTGGGCGTGCTCTTCTTTGAGGTGAGCCTCCTCTTTGAGGTGAGCCTCCTCTTTGAGGTGAGCCTCCTCTTTGAGGTGAGCCTCCTCTTCTTTGAAGTATTTTTGAGACGTCTGTATTTCGTCGTGCTAAAAAATTTCACCGTATGCACGAGCTGGCCGCGCTCTTCTTTGAGGCGGTCGCAGGCGGCCGGGACACAGGGGAGCGGGTTGCTGGCACTCTCTACAACGGTGCACACCCCGGCCCCAGCGCATGCGCTTCTCCTGTCATCTCATTGCATCTTTCTTCTCTACCTCTCCTCTCTCTGCTCAGTCCTCTCCCCCTCTCCTCCCCTCTCTTTTTTCTTCTCCCCACGCACCCCTCCTCTTCCCCCCTCCCCCCTCCCCCCTCCGCCCTCCCCCCTCCTCTTCCCCCCTCCCCCCACCAGCTATTCTGTCTATTCACGAGTGCCACGGAGCGCAGCGTGATAATGGCGGACCTCTGCCATCGCATCCTGCCGCCCCGCCTGCTCTCCCATCGCCCCAAGGAGGCCGCGTTCTGCCTCTGGCTGCTGCACCCGCAGCCCTCCGCCCGCCCCACCGCTTCGTAAGCCCTCTAACCCTCTTGAATCCGTGATTCCCCCACTCTTTGACCCTCGCCCCTTGAACCCCATCACCCCTTGCTCCCACTCCTCTCCCATCGCCCCAAGAAGGCCGCGTTCTGCCTCTGGCTGCTGCACCCGCAGCCGTCGGCACGACCCACTGCTCGAGAGTCCCCTAACGCCTTGTGCGCGCCTCAACGCCTCGTGATCACTCCTTGAGCCCCCTCATCCATTGCTCCCACCCACCTCAAGCCCATCGTCCCAAGGAGGCCGCCTTCTGTCTCTGGCTGCCGCACCCGCAGCCGTCAGCGCGCCTCACAGCCCATCACTGCCCCACATGCCCGGCAAGCTCATCATGCCCCACATGCCCGGCAAGCTCATCATGCCCCACATGCCCGGCATGCTCATCATGCCCCACATGCCTATCATGGCTGCCCTCACAACATGCTCTCCCATTTCTGACCTTTTCAAACGCCCTTGCCATACCCCTCTCTCTCCACGGCTGGTCTCCTTGCCCCTCCATCCTTTTCCTCTCCGTCTCCACAGGGAGGGAGGTGCGCAGCAGCCAGCTGGTGGCAGACGTAGCAAGCATGTTCGCCCACAGGGGGCAGCAGGCGGGGCTTGAGGCACAGGAGGCGGAGTGCGACGTGCTGCTCGCCTTCTTCTCGCGCATCCACCTTAAAACCCTGCCTTGTTCTCTTCCCATCGTTCCCCCATGTCTTACGCCCATCTGTTCCTCCCACCTGTTCCGCCTCATCCTTGCAGCGAGGTGCGGAGCAGTCAACTGCTGGCAGATGTGGCGAGCATGTTCGCCCACAGGGGGCAGCAGGCGGGGCTGGAGGCAGAGGAGGCGGAGTGTGACGTGCTGCTCGCCTTCCTCTCGCGAATCCACCTCGCCGAGCAGTCTGCCGCCCAGAAACTCGCTCTCGATCTCGGGCGGCTCACTGGGGATATCCATGAGGTGCACCTCAGGCGGGCGGCGGTGATGGGCGGCCAGCAGGCGCACGGGCGGCACGGGCATGGCCGGCAGGGGCACGGGCGGCAGGTGCACGTACATGGATCGGGGCAGCAGGGGCAGTCTCAGCCGCTCATGCTGCCAGCTCCGTCCACACAGACGGTAGAGGATAGGGAAGGCGGCAGACGGGGCCGCAGGGAGGGTGGCTGGGAGGGTGGGAGTGACATGAGCGGAGGGGCAGAGAGGGACCTTTGGAGTGCCTTTTCCCCCCGCTCCCCCCGCCCTGGGCTCATCCCACCCTCTCATGCCGCTGCTGCTGCTGCTGCTGACATGAGTGGAGTGGTGAGCATGGGTGGGGGAGGGCGAGAGGCGAGAGGGAGGTGGCCGGCAGGTGAAGCGGAGGAGGCACGAGAAGGGGCACGAGAAGGGGCACGGCATTTCCCTTCCTCCGTTCCTGCCGCTGCTGCTGGCGTTTCTGCTGCTCCATTCAGTATGGGACGGCCGCGGGGGGCAAGGAGGAGCGTGCGGTTACTGCGTAACCTGGACCGGTTGGAAGAGGTGTATTTCGCCATGCGCTGGAGAGTAGAGGCGGCCAATGGGGGACCTGTTGGGAGGGGGGCCGGTGCCACTGCCTCTGCCGCTGCTGCTGCTGCTGCCGCTCTGCCTGCAAACGACGCTGCAGTGCCGCTTGCTGCCCCTCGCGCTGCTGCTGCTGGCGCCGGTGTTGGTGGTGGTGGTCGCGGTGATGGTGGCAGTAGTGCTGGCGGTGCAGGTGGGATTGATGGTGGCGGTGGTGGTGGCAGTGTTGGGGGGGATGATGAGTCGAGTCAGGGTGTGGTGAGGCCAAGAGAGGTGATGGAAGGGGGAGCAGAGGACAGAAGAGGCGAAGGTACAGGCTCAGAGGCGGAGGCAGGGCAGGCCAGGGCAGCAGCACCCGCTTCGACTGCTGCTGCCGGGGCAGTGGTTGGTGCAGGGCGGGCAGCAGCACCAGCAACAGCGGCAGGAAGAGCAGGCGGAGCGATGGCAGCGCCACAGCAGCAGCAGCAGCAGCAGCAGCAGCAGCAGCATGTGCACGAGCAGCAGCAGGGAGGTGCGGAGGGCAGCAGGGACCTACTGGGCGAGTTCTTCGACTCGCTCTGCAAGTTCGCGCGCTACTCGCGCTTCGAGGTGCGCGCCACGCTGCGCCACGCGCACCTCCTCAACGCCGCCTCCATGGTCTGCTCCCTCGCCTTCGACCGCGACGCGCAGTTCTTCGCCACGGGCGGCGTCTGTCGGCGGATTCGGATCTTTGAGTGTGAGAGCGTGCTGGCCGGGCGGCGAGTGGACGTGCACTATCCGGTGGTGGAGATGGGCTGCCGGGCCAAGCTGTCGTGTGTGAGCTGGAACGGGTATATCAAGAACCGGCTCGCCTCCGCGGATTACGACGGGGTTGTGCAGGTGAGCAGTGGGGTGGGGGAAGGAGGGGGATTGGGTGGAGGGAGAGCACTGGCATGGGGCAATGGCGTGTTGGGGTGCGAGCATGAGGAGCGAGCGTGAGGAGCGAGCATGAGGAGCGAGCATGAGAAGCGAGCATGAGGAGCGAGCATGAGGAGCGAGCATGAGAAGCGAGCATGAGAAGCGAGCATGAGGAGCGAGCATGAGAAGCGAGCATGAGAAGCGAGCATGAGAAGCGAGCATGAGAAGCGAGCATGAGAAGCGAGCATGAGGAGCGAGCATGAGGAGCGAGCATGAGGAGCGAGCATGAGAAGCGAGCATGAGAAGCGAGCATGAGAAGCGAGCATGAGGAGCGAGCATGAGAAGCGAGCATGAGAAGCGAGCATGAGGAGCGAGCATGAGAAGCGAGCATGAGAAGCGAGCATGAGAAGCGAGCATGAGAAGCGAGCATGAGAAGCGAGCATGAGGAGCGAGCATGAGAAGCGAGCATGAGAAGCGAGCATGAGAAGCGAGCATGAGAAGCGAGCATAGAGTGATGCTCAGGGCAGCTCAATCCACTGACCTCCTTTTTTCCTCTATCCCCTCCCGTTTTCCCCTCTTCAGCTGTGGGATGCGGGCACGGGAGCGGCGGTGATGGAGTGGGGGGAGCATGAGAAGCGAGCGTGGAGTGTGGACTTCTCTCCCTGCGATCCCACGCGCCTTGCCAGCGGCAGCGATGACGGCACTGTCAAGCTGTGGAGCATCAACCAGGTGGGCATGAACCAGGTGGGCATCAACCAGGTGGGCATCAACCAGGTGCCGCATGCTGATTGGTTGCATCAACCAAGTGGGGCGTGCTGATTGGTCGAATTAGGTTGAACTGCATTAGGTTGAACTGCATTAGGTTGAACTGCATTAGGTTGAACTGCATTATGTTGAACTGCATTAGGTTGAACTGCATTAGGTTAAACTGCATTAGGTTGAACTGCATTAGGTTGAACTGCATTAGGTTGAACTGCATTAGGTTGAACTGCATTAGGTTGAACTGCATTAGGTTGAACTGCATTAGGTTGAACTGCATTAGGTTGAACTGCATTAGAACTGCTTTAGGTTGAACTGCATTAGGCTGAACTGCATTAGGTTGAACTGCATTAGGTTGAACTGCATTAGGTTGAACTGCATTAGGTTGAACTGCTTTAGGTTGAACTGCATTAGGCTGAACTGCATTAGGTTGAACTGCATTAGGTTGAACTGCATTAGGTTGAACTGCATTAGGTTGAACTGCATTAGGTTGAACTGCATTAGGTTGAACTGCATTAGGTTGAACTGCATTAGGTTGAACTGCATTAGGTTGAACTGCATTAGGTTGAACTGCATTAGGTTGAACTGCATTAGGTTGAACTGCATTAGGTTGAACTGCATTAGGTTGAACTGCTTTAGGTTGAACTGCTTTAGGTTGAACTGCATTAAGTTGAACTGCATTAGGTTGAACTGCATTAGGTTGAACTGCTTTAGGTTGAACTGCATTAGGTTGAACTGCTTTAGGTTGAACTGCATTAGGTTGAACTGCTTTAGGTTGAACTGCACAATCAGTACGCAGGAAGTTGTGGTACGGAGTGTGCAAAGCTGTGGGGCATCAAGCAGGCGATTCAAAATCCTCCACTGCTTCGATCTGCGCTCCCCCTCTTCCCTTCCTATGCTCTATTCACACGCTTGCCTCTCCCTCTCCTCTCCCGCCCCTCCTTCGCTCCTCTCCCTCTCCCTCTCCGCGTCTCCCCCTCTCTCGCTGTCCTCCTCTGCAACCCCTCCCGTGTCAGGACACGAGTGTGGGCACGATTCACACCAAGGCCAACGTGTGTTCGGTCGCCTTCCCCCCGCACTCCTCGCACCTGCTCGCCCTCGGCTCGGCCGACTACTCGCTGCACTGCTTCGACCTGCGCTCGCTCCGCGCGCCCCTCGCCACGCTCACGGGCCACAGCAAGGCTGTCAGCTACGTGAAATTCGTCGATGCTTCGACAATCGTCTCTGCCTCAACAGACAACACTCTGAAGCTGTGGGACTTGAACCAAGCATGCAGTCAGCAGGCGGGGGGAGGGGCTGATGGGGCCTCTGCTTGCACGAGGACGTTCACTGGCCACACAAATGAGAAGGTGGGTGGTTCTTAAGAGTTCATCGTGTGTCTGCCTCTGCGGACAATACTCTCAAGCTGTGGGATCTGAACAGTGCGTGTAGTCAGCAGGCGGGGGGGGGGGGAGTGGGGCGGATGGGGGCTCTGCGTGCAGGAGGACGTTCACGGGGGGGGCACACCAATGAGAAGGTGGGGTGTGGCGGTGTATGGTGTGGTGTGGCTTCTGTAGCTGGTGGGCACCAAGTGCTGTTACGTCCGCTGCTCCTGTCACGACCACCTGTTCGTTTATAACTCACTAGTTCTCATGCCAGGGTTAATTCTTTCGCCTGTTTCTTGCTTCTTCGCTCATTCGTCTCTCGCTTGTCACCTTCTATCTCTCCTGTCCCTCTCCCAGCCACACATCGCGTCCCCCTCAGCTCTCGTGTCCCTCTGTCTCGGCGGAATCACGTGGGGCTCACTGCAGCTGGTGGTTACGAGTTTTGAGGCGCCGCAGAACTCCCCGCTGCACAACTCCCCGCCGCACAACTCTCCACCGCAAGACTCCCCTCCGCAGGACTCCCCTCCGCACAACTCCCCACCGCAAGACTCCCCTCCGCAGGACTCCCCTCCGCAGAACTCCCCTCCGACCTCACATCGCAATCCCCCATCTCCTGTGTCTCCCTGTCCTGGCAGAGCGTGGTGGGGCTCAGTCAGTGTTGGTCATCCGCCTGTAGCGTTGCTCATTCCTCATGTCCCGTGCTGCTCCCCGTGCTTCCCGTGTCTCCCTGTCCCGGCAGAACCTTGTGGGGCCCACGGTTGCTGATGGCTACATGGCATGCAGCTCACTCTTCCTGTCTCGCACCTCTCCTCTCTGACCTCGCGTCGTGCTCCCCCCACCTCCCATCTCTCCCTATCCCGGCAGAATTTTGTGGGGCTCACTGTGGCTGATGGCTACATCGCATGCGGCTCCGAAACTAACGAGGTATGCGCTGTGCTGTGCTCACGAGGACTGGTCTCCCTTGCATGCCTTGAGCCGTGCCGTGCAGCATTCTCTGTCCCGACTCCCCTCCACCACTCCTTGTGTGCGCCACCATCCCGTTCTGCCTCACTCATTTGAGGCGCCTCAAAACCCGTTGTGCCTCTCACTGTTGTTCCACGATCCGAATCTGCAATCCATTTCACCGTCCATTTGTGCCCAATCACACACCCCCTCTCCGCCTGTCTCCGATCCATCTCCCTCCCCATCACCGCTCCTCTCCCAGGTGTTTGCGTTCCACAAGTCGCTGCCAATGCCCATGGCAGCACACCGCTTTGGGGGGGTTGATCCGGTCACAGGCGCGGACACGGAGGAGGATGCGGGGCAGTTTGTGTCGAGTGTGTGCTGGCGGGGTGACTCTCAAACACTCGTTGCTGCGAATTCTACTGGGAACATTAAACTGCTGGAGATGGTGTGAGGATGGGGGGAGGGAAAGAGAGAGAAAGGGGAGAGAGTGGGGGCCAGGTGGGCTGTCTGCTGATGGGAATGGTGTGAGGGGCGGTTCCCAGGGAGGAGAAGGGGGGATGCATAGGTGGGAGCACAGTGGTGTGGGCGCTGACACGGAGGAAGGGGGGATGCAGCGATGGGAACTCCACTGATTACCCAACTGCTGGAGACTGTGTGAGGGGGGGTGCTGGAAGTAAGAGAATCTCAGCCTTGCTGGGGTGAGGGTTGAGGAAGCAAGCTTGGGGGGTGATACCGGTACATGAAGGCACTAGGAGGAGGATTCAGGAGGGCACATGCACCTGCAGCTGCTGCTGCTGTTTAATTCCACCAGCGATGTAAAGCTGCTAGAAATTGGTGTGGCAGGTGCTTCTTCTAAGGGTCCTCCAATCGCTGGTTGGAAGCTGAATGTGCTCTCAGGGGTTGTACTCTAGGTGTGTACGGCATGGCTTAGCTAGGTCCATGTCGTAGGCAACAAATTCTAAGAAAGTTATATTTCTATTGTGCATCCTATTTGTGTAACGAAATGATGTTTCTGCGAGTAATTTTATTATTCTAGATATCATTACCACATCACAAACCTTGATGCAACAGCATGGTGAAATTACTAGTTAGCGTGGACGATTTGTTGTACAATGTACTAAATTTGCTCTCTCAAAAAGAAGAGACCTGCGGATATCGAATCGAACCTCAGAAACCCCACCCACTCGCTTGATCTCGTTCCTTTCCTTTCCCCATCTACTCGTGATTATTCCCCCTCTTCCCGTAGCCCGTCCTTACCTTCGTCCCCTTAGCCTTGCCGTACCCTTCTTCTGCCACTCCGCCGCTAATCTTCCGCTGGTTTCTTTCGCCAGCCTTCCGCCAGTTTTCCGCCAGTCTTCCGCCGATCCCCCGCCCAGTCCGCCGCCAGGCGCCATGAGTGCGGAGGAGCTGCAGCCGCCGCGCGTGCTACCGACGGTGCCGGAGACGGTGCTGAAGAAGCGGAAGAAGGACGAGCAGTTCGCGGCGGAGAAGCGCGAGCAGTTCCTGCAGAAGCACGCGCACCGCGGGAAGCGCGGAAAGGCAGAGAAGCGCTTCAAGCGCCCAGAGGACTTCGTGCTCGCGTTCCGCCGGAGGGTGCGTGCGCGCGGGGGGGTCAGCATGCGCGGTTGCGGATTCCTCTGCCGGGAATTTTCTCCTTTTTTTTTAAACGCAACCTTCTGTCATACTGTTTCAACATTCTATTGGAAAATAGCTGACCGGGTTTCGCGGTCCAGCGGCGTGCCACTCACGCCGCAACTCACGCGTGTGGAGGGAAGGGTACGCGCGCGCCAGCTCGACGGACTGATGATCTTGCGGATATTTGCGAAAAAGGGCCGCACGTTTAGGACAGGCGCGGCGTGTACAGCCTTACACTTAGGTTGCGTCGGCGTGCGTCGCAGATTTATCTAAACCCTTATGGACAGGCTCGGCGCGCAGGGGGGTGTCTTTGAATAACTCGCTGGACCGAGTTGGAGATCAGGGTTGAGGGCTGCATGTGTAGGGTTTAACGTGCCAGCAGTCGGTGGATGTTGATGACTGGGAGAGTGGTGCGGACTGCCCCTGGTTCGAATACCAGGGTTTTAGGAGCTAGGGCATAAGGGTTCGGGTTTTGGTGACCACCGGTTTTCTCCCACCCACCCCTCCCTCCTGTCCGTTCTCCTTGCAACGGGAGCGACGCTCGCGGCTGGTAAAACGTGATGGGGCAACGCGTGGTTTCGGAGTTGGGCGTTTGCGTCAAGTTCCCCTCTATTCCCCCCTCCCTCCCTCTCCCCGCGCGCTTCCGCTTCCGCTTTCCCACGTCCGCAACAGGAGCGCGATGCTAAGCGCGTGCGCGCGGACCGGGTGGTGGGGCGGCGGGTGCAGCTGAAGCCGGTGGTGGCGGGCGGGGGGAGCGCGGCGCAGCGGAGGCTGGCGCGGCGGAAGCTGAAGGCGGCGCAGAAAGCGGCGGAGCGGATAAGCTCGGGGAAGGGGGAGGACAAGGGGGGCGTTTTGGCGGGGACGAACCTGAAGCTGCTGTTTGCCGTGCGGATCCGCGGGTAAGTGGGGGATGGGGGAGGAGTAGGGGGGGAGTTGAATGGAGAGGGGAGAGGTGGGCGAGAGTAGAGAGTGAATGGCAGGGAGGAGTGAGAGTGAGTGTGGGGATGAGTGAGGGCTGCAGTGCATTATCACACGGCGCGCTTTGACACATATTCGCCATTGTTGCGTCGACATGGCCATTGCGTGTTAATCATCGCATTTTCATTCTTTACTATCTAACCCTAGTATTCCCACTTGTATCTGGTTGCCTCTCTGTTTACCCAATCATCTCCACGTGTGTGCAGGGTGCAACACGAAATGACGAAGCAGTCGCGGAGTATACTCAAGATGCTCCGACTTACAGAGGTAACCACACTGCTGCCGCCGCTGCCGCGGCCGCCGCCGCCGCCGCCGCTGCTGCTGCTGACGCGGTTAATGACTAGATCCGCGCAGGTGGCTGTGGAGTCCCCATGGCATTCCCCCACACACGCGCCCTAATTGTCGTTCGCTCCCTCCGTCCCCTCCTTCCCTCTCCCCCCTCCTTATCCGCGCACCTCTCCCCCTACACACACACACACCTCCTCCCTTTCGCTCTCTCTCCCCTCCCTCACCTTCCCCTCTGCAGCTCAACTCGGGCGTCTTCCTGCGAGCCACGGACCGCACGGCTCAAATGCTGCAACTCGTCGAGCCCTACGTCACCTTCGGGTGCGCCCTCCCTCCTTTCTGAAATGCCTCCTTCCCTCCCTCCCTCTTTCCCTCTTTCCCTCCCTCCCTCCCTCCCTCTTTCCCTCTTTCCCTCCCTCCCTCCCTCCCTCCCTCCCTCCCTCCCGCCTTTCCTCCCTCACTCCCTCACTCCCTCACTCCCTATTGTAACACCACCACCACCCCCTTCCAATTTCCTCTCTCTCTCTCTCAGTTCCCACTCCTGTGTTCCGTTCCTTCCCTCTCTTTCACCCTCTCTCCCCACCCTCACTCTCTCTTGCTCTGTTCCCCCCGTGTCTTCATCTCGATTTCTTAGCCCTCTCCTCCCTCCTCTCTCTCCCTCGCTCTTTTCCATAACCAGCTTTAATCGTTGCACGCTTCTCACCCTTTCCTTCCGGCTCTCTCTTTTTCCTCTCGGGTTCCTGAACCTGCACCCACTCTCACCCACTTCCCCTCATCCTAGTTCCCCCACCACCCCCCCACACACTTCCCCCATCTTCCAGATTCCCCAACCTTTCATCAGCGCGCGCGCTCATATTGAAGCAAGGCGTGGGCGCACTTCCCTGCCTCCCCCTCCCCCCTTACCCTCCTTCCCCCATCTTCCCGCATCAACCCACTGTATACTCCCAACCCCCCCTCAGGTTCCCCAACCTATCCTCAGTGCGCGCGCTCATTATGAAGCGAGGCGTGGCACGCATACGGCAGCAAGAGGAGGGGGAAGGTGACGACGAGGGGGAGGAAGGCGAAGAGGGGGAAGACGCAGGGGAAGGGGAGGAGCAAGCGGAGGGGGATGAGGAAGCAGAGGGGGACGAGGGAGGGGAGGGAGAGGCCAAAGAGGTGGAAGCAAGGCAGGGGGGAGCAGCAGAAGGGGCAGGGGGTAGTGGGGCGATGGTGGTGGGAGAGCCTAGAAAGCCGGAGGCGATGGTCGGGTGGACGGGGCCGGTAAATCCAGAGGAGGAGGCCAAGGGGTGGCGGCGAGTGCCGCTCACTGACAACGCTATTGTTGAACAGGTGAGCTGGTAGTTGTTGCCTGTTTCAGGCACTTTAGAACCTGCATGGGAAGGCAGAGGCGGTGGTGGGGGCGCCTAGGAAGGAGGAGGCGATGGCGGGGTGGACGGGGCCGGTGGATGCAGCAGAGGAGGCCAAGGGGTGGCGGCGAGTGCCCCTCACTGACAACGCTATTGTTGAACAGGTGAGCTTACGTTTCTGAGATGTCTAAAAGTTGGGAGTTTTGAGCTTGCCGTCTCAAAACTGGATGGGGAAGGGGGGGGCTAAGGGGTGGGTGGCGGCGAGTGTCCCTCGCTGACAACGTTATTGTAGAGCAGGTGGGCTTTAAATCGAGTGCTGGTGCTCCATTACTCCCCTTCAATTTCTCACACTCCTCTGCTGCTTTGCCCCACGCCCCTCGCTACTTGCTTCGCTCCCTGCAGGCACTAGGCAGCACAGGCATCATCTGTATCGAGGATTTGATTCACGAGATCGCTACAGTGGGGCCGCACTTCCTGCAAGTGACTGGCTTTCTTTGGCCTTTCCGCCTCGCCGCTCCCAGGGGCAAGTTCAGCAAGGCCGGGTGGTTCAACAAGGGAGGGGAGGCTGGGAATAGGGGAGTTGAGATCAATGACCTCATTCGCCAAATGGCATGATATTGGTGTTTGTTTGATAATGGTTTTCTTTGTTATTTTGCTGCAATGATTAGATTGTGTCATTTCTTTCTAGGATGTTGCCATTGCCATACCTGTGAACTCCAAGCTGGAGGAATGATGGTAAGGGTGTACGGTAACAATCTTATCCAACCGTTCCATGTGCGTGTAATCATTCGTAAGTGCAAACACCCTAGTAAGTGTTGGAAACAATCGGTCCTAAGCGCCTCTGTCGTGTCAAAACACCAAGTCAGAAGCGAAGCGAAGTATATCGAAGCACCGGCGAGTCAACCCTCGGAGGTTGAGCGGTTGCTAGAGGTTACGCGAAAGTCAAAGGTCAGCGACCTTTGACCTGACAAGTACAGCACGACAGCAAGGACACACAACTGACTCGCTACAGAGCAGTTGCCCGAGTCGTCGCTGTATCGAACCGCAACAGCAACAGTAAAGTAGTTATAACCGTATCTCTTCGTATTCCTTGTACTCTTATATAATCCTGTATCTCTTTGCTTTCATCAACTTACTTTGCCCTCACATACTAGCGCAAGGTGGTTCACAACCCTTAAATTTGTTGGGCTGAGTGCCCTTTAGGATCTTTGGTAGAGTTAAAGTCTGAGTAAAGTGATGTAGTAGCGGAAGCGTTTTAAGTAAGGTATTTGAACCACCTTGTGCTAGTATGTGAGGGCAAAGTAAGTTGATTAAAGCAAAGAGATACAAGAATATATATACGAATACAGAGAATATGAAGAGACATTATAACTACTTTACTGTTGCGGTTTGATACAGTGCGACTCGGGCAACTGCTCAATGTCGAGTCGGTTGTGTGTCCTTGCTGTCGCGCTGCATTTGTCAGGTCAAAGGTCGCTGACCTTTGACTTTCACGTAACCTCCAGCGGTTACATCAACCTCCGAGGGTTGACTCGCTGGTGCCTCCATATGCGCTGCTTCGCTTGTGTCTTGGTGTTTCGACACGACAGAGGCGCTTAAGATTGTTTGTTCCCAACACTCCCCTTCGCTTCTGGAGTGTCGCTGATGGTGACGTGGCTTTGTCCAGTCAGCAGCATGCAGTACTCGAACTTCTGTTTTCCGAGCTTCTTGGTCAAGTAGTCAGTTGCCATCTCGGACGTGGGACAGTAGGATAGTTCAAGTTTCCCCTTCTCGATCTCATCTTTCACGAAGAAGTATCGCAGAGCGATATGCTTCGTTCTGTTCGCGAATCCACTTTTGTTGGCGATGCGAATCGCAGATTGGTTGTCGCAGAACAAAGTGAAGTTGGGTAACTCGGCTAGCTTCGCTTCTTCCAGCAGCTCGCGAAGATGGAGTCCTTCCTTGGTGGCTGAGCAGAGTGCAATATATTCTGCTTCAGCTGACGAGAGAGCGATTAGTTCCTGCTTGCTCGATTGCCAGGAGATCGGTCCGATAGGTTCGAGGCGGTAGATGTAGCCAGTGCGGGAGCGCCTATTGTCTGAGTCGCCAGCGTGATCTGCGTCGACGTAGCCGATTAATTTCGTCGGTGTAGTTGTGTTCTTGTAGTAGGTCAGACCGATCGTAGAGGTACTGACGAAGTAGTGGAGAGCGCGGTCGAGCTCCGCCAAGTGTTCTGCTTCAGGTCTTTTGAGGTAGGTGGCGAGTTGGCTTGCGGAGTAGGATAGATCTGGGCGGCAGGTGACGGCTGCAAAGAGAAGGCAGCCCAGCTTTCTCTGGTAGTCGCGTATCCCGGCGGATTAAAGTAGAGAGGATCCTTCATTGTGGTTTCCTGTCGTGTAGCGGTAGGGCGTAGAAATGGTGGTAGGTGTGAGCGCGAAGCGTTTGGCGATGGTGTCGGCGTACTTAGCGGCGTTGAGGTAGATCGCGCCTTCTTCTTCCCGAATGTTTAAGCCGAGATACTGTGTGACGCTAGAAGAGACCGTGAGTGTGAGGTCCTTCTGTAGCTCCCCTTCGAACCAGGTGGTGATGTCGTCACTAGAGCCGATGTAGAGTAAGTCGTCTACGTAGACGATCAACAGAATGTAGTCGGTGTCTTTGGTGAGTCGGTACATCCCTTGGTCGTGAGGCAGTTGACGGAATCCGATGCGAGTGAGGCGAGCGTGTAGGTACTGTTGCCATAGCCGCGGAGCTTGCTTGATCCCGTAGAGTGATTTCCGCAGTTGACAGACTTGGTTCGGTTCCCCGTGGATACCATGTGGGAGCTCGACGAAGATTTCCGCGTCGACAGGTGCGTAGAGGAACGCGTTGGCGACATCGATTTGCCGTAGCTTCTTCTTCATCATAGCGGCGATCGCGAGGAGAATTTGAAGTGAGGTATGTCGGCTGACCGGGGCGAATGTCTCGGTGAAGTCCCGTCCGTGCTCCTGATCGAATCCACGCACAACCCAGCGTGCTTTGAATTTCTCAATTGTGCCGTCTGCTTTCGTTTTAATGCGGAAGACCCATTTCCCGGTGAGAATGGTCTTATTCCTTGCCACGCTGATGGGGACAATTTTCCAGGTGTTCCGTTCCTCCAGCGCCTTTAACTCTCTGTCCATGGCTTCACGCCATTTTTCCCTGTATTCCCCCCCCAGAGCCTGCTGAACCGTCGCAGGCTCCTCAGGTAGAGAGGTGCCGTGGACTGTGGTGACGAGGCCGAGAATCTGCAGTCCAGTCTGTGAGTAGCGGGGAAGTGTTGTGTCCTCGGGATAAGCTGCTTCGTCTCCCGCTTCTGGGTCGGGTATGAAATTCGGCCCTATCCGTTCTGCTTCGTGGGTGTTGGCTGTCGCAGGTGTTACGTAACCGTTGTCGGCGAAGTGGTAGAAGACTTCGGCGTTGGCGCTTTCGCGAGGGTTGTCTTCGTCCATGGGGACGTTGACGGAGCAAAACGGGAGAGGTCCGGCTTCTTCTGGTGCATTGTCCACATTCTGCTCGTCCCAGTCTGCTTCGTCCGCTGCTGAGGCGAAGGCTCGGTCACCACGAAAGCCACCTGTGGGATCTTCATTATCGTGCAAGTTGGCAAGGTATGTCTGAAGCGTGAGTCGTTCGTAGAAAATTACGTCACGTGCTGCTACTGTTTTCTTGGAGTGGACGTCGAAGATTTTCCACGCGTTGTAGTTCTTTTCGATGCCGAGGTGCAGTCCCCACTGTGCGTGTTGTGAAAATCTTCCCGCTCGTGCTTCTGGGGGCCGGTACTGTACCATGCACCCGAAAACTCGTAACATTTTTGGGCTGCCCTGTTTCCCTGTCCACAGCAGATGCGGTGACGCGTTGTTCGGAAGTGAAGACGACGACATCAAGTTGTGGAGCATGACGACGTGGTCCATTGCTGCAGGCCACTGGTGGTTGGGTAGTCGCATGCCACGTAACAGTTTGCGCATGCTGTTCTGCAGAGTCGTGTTCATTCTTTCTGCCACACCTTGCTGCTGATGGGCGTAGGGAAGAGAGAGGAGCTGCTTGATTCCCCTTTCCGCCAGGTACTGCTTGAATCGCTGAGAAGTGTATTCTCCCCCTCCGTCTGACTGGAAGCTTTTCAGTTGTGCGCCCGACTCCCTCTCTGCTACTGGTAGCCAGGCAGCGAAGGCTGCGAGTGCCATGTCGCGGCTGGGCAGGTTAAGGTGCCAGACGTAACGGGTGGCGGAGTCGATGAGGGTGATCGTGTAGTTGTATGTAACTTGTCCTGGTTCCCAATTGAAAAGGATATCGCTGTACACCTTCTCGAGTGGTGCGTACGCGGGTGCGCTCGGGTTGTGATGAGGAATGAACGGCCGATGTGGTAAGTCGGCTTCGGGGCAGGTAAGACAAGTTCCTCGTGCTCGTTGAAGTTCTTTGCCGTCGAGTAGTAGTAATGAGTCCTTGTCAAGGACTCCTGCTCTTATTGTGTTGTTTAACACAGTGTTGCTTGGGTGTCCCATGCGTGCGTGCCAGATGTCTTCGGAGGCGCGGTGTCCGGGTGAGCGTTGATACGCGTCGGAGTTGGAGTAGAAGCTGGCGATGAAGTTTGCGCTTCTGTGGACTTCCCGTTGAGTTGGATTTAGCTGCTGTGCGGGTGTTGGTGGTGCTTCGTCAACGAGGACTGGTGTCGTTGTTCCTGCTGCTGCCGACGATGTTTTTGCTGCTGCTGATGTTGTCTCTGCTGCTGCTTCTGCTGCTGCCGATGTTGTCTCTGCTGCTGCCAAATGTTGTATTGTTACTAACGCACGTGTTCGTTCTGCTTCAGGAATGGTATGTGAATACCAGAAGCCTTCCGGACTGAAGTCGGGGTCGAGATCCGGCGGGTGCGTCAAGGATGTGAAGGTGACGATCCCGTCACTGTCTGCGGTGCCCAGGTCTGGGACGAAGTCGAGGACGAAGACATTGTTCTTCAGAATCGCCTTTCCGATGTAGAGGCCGCCCTTCCCGTGGTACAGTTTGAACTCCTAGGTGGTACTGTCGGCTTCCAGATGTATGCCTTTCGCCATCAACTGACTGACGCTCAGTAAGTTGTAACCAAGACCTTCTGCTATCAGGACTTTTGACATTTGCAGTACAACATTTGTCTCTCGTGACTGAAGTTGCACTACCCCTTGCCGTCGTGTGCGCAGGTTCTGGTTATTGGCGACAGTGATGACTGTCAGAGTATTATGACTGATGCATGTTTGTAGGCTATAGTGGGGTAGCACATATGGGGTACAGCTTTCTAGGGTTGTATTTGTACCCAACTCTGATTTAGTCATTTCATTCCTGTTTTCCTTGCTTCACATGGTATAGAGCGGGTCCTGCCTTAGGACCGTTTTTTTTAGGGCCCACCGAAGCGCGCCCCGAGGCGCGCCCTTTTTTTTTTTTTTTAGCGACCCCTCGGGTCGCCTTTTCCCTCGCGGCCCCGCTGTCCCTCAGACGCGGCCCCGCCACCTCTCCTGATCGCGGCCCCGCCGCCTGCTTGACGCAGTCCTGCCGCCTCCCCTGACGCGGCCCCCGCCTCTACTGCCGCGGCCCCGCCGCCGCCTCTGACGGCCCCGCCGCTGCACCCTACGGCCCGCTGCTGCACCCTACGGCCC